GCTCTTTTTGGCCCTCATGTTCCTCTGTTGTCGTACAAACTTGCCCCCCCTCCCTCACCGCCTCGGCCGTATCTAGACCCACAGCTAGTTCCTGTGGCAGGCTGTGGGAGTTGAACTCGTAACCTCTGGAGTCCCAGCTCTAACCGCTACGCCGCTCCTCTCCCTGACGCTGCGTTTCAGATGCAGCGTTTCCATCCTGGGCCGCATCATCAAGTAGGAGGAGCTTCAGCGGCGTGAAGCTGACACCCCGCCCACAGCCAGGGGGAAACTCAGCAGATACTCTGAACGGTTAGAGCTTCATTAGAGCAGGTGTGTAAATTTAAATGGTCATTTGTAAAAATGAAATAAATAAAATAAAGACCACAGAGGTTAAAGATTATTCTTTAGGTCATCCAAAGGTCAACTGCCCTCCATTATGCTCCCACTTTTTCAGAGCTGCTTCATTTGAGCAGGTAAAACTATTATTTATGTTAATTTGGTTTTTAAGATAAATGATTTTTAATCACAGCCGATGACATCAGCATCCCAGCAGACGTCAGCGCTGCGCTGCTTTCCTGATAGAAACTTATTGCATCAGACATCTAACATGTTGACCTTATTTAGTGGAATGATTGTTTGATATTTAGTTTATCTCCAGCCTCCCAGATACTCTGCTTTGGACCTACCGTTACCCCTGGCAACCACATAGCATTCACTGTCAAGGTCTGGCTGGCTGTTGGCCTTTCACAATAAAAGCACAGGTAAACAGTAACATCATGGACTGATTCCAAATTGCTCCTTATAAAAACTTTTAAGTCTCCGTGGAGAGGACACTTAGGTTCATCCAGACGCAACTCTGATTCAGCAGGACTTCCTTGTAAATCTCCCCGCTCAGGAAGCCCCGACGCTGGGCAGTGGGCAGCGACAGACCGGGCTCTGGGCTGGAGGTGAGGGAGGATGATGGACGCTCTTTCTAGGACTGAACTGAAAAGGCTTATTTTAAATCCAGCTAAAGACGTCTGCAGAGCGTTCCTTCTTTCTGCCTTTTTAAAGTCGTAGAGAAGCGGCCGTTCCAACCGTTTCTCCCGAATTCTCCAGAGTGGTGCACGACTTTACACGACTGAATAAAGTGAATGTAATTGGTTGATTATCAAGGGGGCGGGATCATTGTGGCGTAAGGTTCGCAAGCACGATTGGTTGTGGCGGGTTTGTGGGAAGCAT